TGTCTCAAATACGGTTTTGCCGTTTTACTTGTTTAATTTAACCTTTTTGGTTAATATTTAAATAATATAATATTTTACCAGTTTTATACAGTTGTCCAACAGAAGAGTAATCTATCTTATTTACAAATCTTTTCAAAATAGACAGTTTGACCGGGCCCTTCTAAAAACCGGGCCCTAGACATTTGTCTCATTTGTCTATGCGATGATCCGGCCCTGGTTTACAACTTTGTTTACAAGCCAACTCTTTACAACTCTTAGTGAAGTCGGTGTGTCTTTTGTTCCCTCTGTTCACAATTTTGTTTACAATACTTTACAGTATTATTCAATAAATAAAAATATTTTTCTTTTATTTTATTTTTAATTTTTTTCTCTTACTATCGATATTTTATTATTCTTTATTTTAATATTTATATTGTATTATAAATAAATTAATTGTGATCAAAATATCTTAGTTAATAAGAGGCTGTCCATTAATTTGCATGTACTGTACAGTTTAAGGGAGAGAGGAAATCAAAGGTGGCTCAAAAACTATACATGTAATTAATGAACAGCCTTAATTAAATTATAATAGAATTTTATAAATAATTTTATGTGGATTAATTTAGTCATTAATTGTTATTTGATTATACTTTGCCAAAAATTATACAATATTAGTTTGAAATTATATATTATAAACATTAATATAATTGTTAATGTAATTGGATTTTCATGTAATTTTTAGCTTTTGTGTCAAACTGTTTTAAAATTTGTATGATTATATAACTTTAAATTATACGATCATCTATGAAAATATATTACATAGATTTAATTTAATATTAAAACAATTGGTTTTGATTTTTAGATATGAATATTTTAAGTTGCCATATTAGAATGTGCTTACATGATGGTAGTAAGGTAATAAATTTACTTTTAAAAAATATATAATAAATAATAATAGAAATCGTTTTTATAATTCTATCAATTTCTAGATATTAAGCAATGTGCACACTGTTTCAGCAAAATGGGAATCAAAAGATCCACAGAAGTGGTCATTTATATCTTCAGTGAGTGTATTTATTATTAGTATTATTTTTTAATATATTATATATGGTAATAGATCTTTAATGACATTTTTTTACATTGTCCATGGTCAAAAATGTTAGAACTAATAAAAATAGTATTCTGGTCAAGGCTCAGTGTAATAGCTCATGGTTTTTAATGACTTTTTTCACAGCAAAAATTATTTTGTTCAGAATTTAAGAATAAGAATACTATTACCAAGTATACATTTGATACCACATTATATTAAATATGAAGTTTTCTTTTAAATGTGAGAAAAAATTTTATTACTTAAACATTTTCAGAAAATGAATTCTTATCATTAAAGGTAGAAACAAAAACAGAAAAAGCAAAGTTAAATCAAAACTCTAAAATGTTACAAAATGCATTATATGAAAACATCAATAATGTAATAAATATAAGCTTTAATTTTTCTTTTTATAAGGAGACTCTAGCTTGAAAACTTATGAAAATTTAGAAGTTTATAATTTTTCAACAAGATATCTCACTAAAATATTCAAGATTTGGAATTAAACTACCATATAATTGTAATCAGATATTGTTATTATTTTAATTTTCAGTTTGTCCATCATTTTTTTTAAATTACTTGTTTACATACAGACATAATGGCTTCATTTGTACCATAACTATACTGCTTTATTATAAAATCAGCAAAGAAAATATTAAGTATCAAATTTTAAGTCATAAATTAATTGTGAATTATATCAGAAATCATAAATAATGAAGTTTATCAGAATTTGAATCATATTAGAATAGGTTAAAATTTAGTGAAAATAAATTTAACCTGAAAATGGGTATTAGTATATAAAAGTCTTCAATATTCTTTTTAAATTTTTGTTTGTTTCTATATGTAAATATAAACTGATTTAAATCAGTTTTACAAAAAGAAAAGAATAAAACAACTATGTAAATTGTGTACAAGTGATACAAATTGTGTACATAAATTTGTATTATCAAACACTTAAACTTCTTCAAATTTGCTTTCTGTTTGATTTATTATGTTCCATTCTAAAACCTGAAGATGGCCATTAAATATGATCAAAATGTTCATTACATAAACATTCCGTTTTACTGGATTTTATGGTTTTTTGGAGGTAATATTTGTAATTATAAAGTTTCTTATTTAATAAAACAACTTATATATACTTAATTATTACATTATCTTTCTAATAATGCATTTATAAAAAATAAATATACAAAAGTGTCTGAATTAAGTTCTGTAGTACAGTTTATTAAAAATACAAAAGAATTAAGTTGAATTACTGTTATTGTATTGTTTATGCATATGTGTTATTTTCTATGTAATATTTGTGCATCTATATAAGTACTATTTCTTATAAACATAAAAATTATTCTTTTTAACAGATTTCACAGACAAGTTCTTATTTAGAAGATAGTAAAATTTTTATAAGGACTAATACTGCTGTAGCAACCCTTGGTAAATAATCATTTTTCTTTAATAAAAAAGCATTAACTAATAATAGTAGTAATAATAATAATAATAATAATATGCCATAATCACAGATAAAACAATTTACCACAACAGGCCAGACATCACACTAATTGACAAACACAATAAAATCACATACATTATAGACATAGCCATTCCAAACACTCACAATGTACAAAACACATGCACTGAAAAAATTAGCAACGCCCAGGAAATAAGGCATCTGTGGAGGATGGATAGGGTGCTTATTGTACCTGTTGTTCTCTCCTGTACAGGTGTGATACCACACACACTACACAAAAGCCTGGGAACATTACAATTGAATAGAAATACATACATCACACTACAGAAGGCCACTATATTGAATACATGC